ATTTGACGAGATCGTGAGCGGGAGGGGTCCAGTGGACTTGAGCTGAGGTTGAAAGATGGGGCTGAGAGTTTGAAGTCTTGTTTGGCAAGACAGCAGAAATCCATTCTTTGACATCCTCCTTGGCCCGTTTAAGAGTTTCATTCTTGTCTAGTACTCTTTTGTTGAAAACTAGATCATTTCGACTTTTCCAAAGTCTCCATAGAATCCAGAAGGGGAGGAATTTATTATCATCCGTCGTTGCTGTAGTAGCAAGTAATGTGAACAGAAATCTTAGCTTGTCTTCAATAGCATTACGTGGATCACACAGAAAACTATACGGTAAACCCGAATAACGCCATACTGATTCAGCGTACTGACATGAGAAGAGTACATGATCACTGGTTTCTTCAGCAGAGCAACAACGAGGACAGAGACGATCCACTTTGATGTTTCTTCGTCTGAGATTATCGTTTGTTGCTATAGCACAGGAAGCAATTCTCCAAAGAAAATGTTTAAGTTTGGGAACTAGATTTGAGCCAGATGGATTTGGCTATATCCGGATGTGATGCAAGAGGAGGAAGAGCAATTTCCTCTGGGTTTTCATTTGACGCCAAGTGATATCCCGTTTTGACCGTACATGCCCCATCGTTTGTAAAACTCCATATCTTAGAATCTGTTGTTGGCCAAGGAGGGAGGAATATCTGACGAATGATGTGATGATCCGCTTGGTCGATTAGATCGTAAAGCTGTTCGTCGTCCCATTGAAAATTGGATTGGTTGATGAGAGTACTGACAGGAAGCGTTGGGTTGGTATATGGTAGCAAATGAGGTGCACGTGGCAGGATGGTGGGAAGCCATGAATCTTGAAGTGCTGCGGTTGCTCCATCACCAATCGATGTCTGAAGCCCTTGAGATAACAAGTCTCTCCCAAATAATAAGGATTGCCAGGCATAGGAAGGCTGAGACCCTTGCGTGGCGTTGAGGATTGATCCATGTTTAAAATATCGGCTTTTAAGTACACGATGCAGGAGACATTGGGGGCGTTGTAGGAGTTTCCAAACTTGATTGCCAAGTAAGGCTTGGTTAAATTTGTGAAGATCCCGGAAGCCAAGACCTCCCATGTGTTTTGAAGTGGACATCTTTTTCCAAGAAACCCAAGAGAGTTTCCGCTGATTCTCTGTTGATCCCCACCAGAACCGAGAGATGATGCTATTTAATTCAGAACAGAATTCCATTGGCAACTTGAAACAGTTCATAGAATAAACCGGCATTGCAAATGCGACAGCTTTAATCAATGTTTCCTTCCCAGCTGTTGATAAAAATCTCGTCTGCCATCCATTAGTTTTTGCTAACACATTATCTTTGATATATTGGAGCATTTCTTTTTTCCTTCTACCAAATTGCTCTGGAAGTCCTAAGAACTTGCCTCCTCCACCAGTGTTTGGGATATCTAGGATGTTCATAATGCTTTCCCGAGTGTGTTGGAAGACCCGTTGACCGAAAGTAATAGATGATTTCTCGAAATTAATTATCTGACCAGAAGCTTTCCCATAGTCTTCAAATATTTTCAGTAGAGCAATGCTATTGCTGTGATCCGCTTTTACAAAGAATAGGGAATCGTCAGCGAACAAGAGGTGAGAGATAGGAGGTCCTCCTATACTGAGACGGATGGGTTGAATAGCATAATTCCTTTCTGCATTTAGCATCATCGAACTCAAAACGTCAGCACAAAGGATGAAAAGATACGGTGATAAAGGATCACCTTGACGTATTCCTCTATGAGGATTGAAGTGTCCGTAGGGGCTTCCATTGATGAGCACAGAGAAAGAAACTGATTTGACACAGACCATTATCCATTTTATCCAGCGATGATCAAAGCCTTTTCGATGTAAAACTTCTTCTAAGAAATTCCATTCCAATCTATCATAAGCTTTACTGATATCAGTTTTCACAGCCATATATGAGTTAGCGCACCTTCTTCTGGCTCGCAAAGAATGAAGTATTTCATGTGCTATGAAGACATTATCTGTAATTTGTCGACCTGGGATATACGCTGCTTGGTTTTCAGATACCACTCCTGATAGTATTTCTTTGAGTCTGAACATGAGGATTTTTGAAATGACTTTATATAGCACATTACAAAGTGCTATTGGCCTGAAATCCTTCATCGTTGCAGGAGTTTCAATCTTGGGAATAAGGCATAAGTTTGTGTGATTGATGCCTTGCAGTAATGTACCAGTATCAAAAAATGTCGGGACCTCATCTATTAAAGCAGAGCCCACAATATCCCAATGTTGTTGGTAGAAGGAAGCTGTGAATCCGTCGGGATCTGGAGCACGTGTAGCTCCTATAGAGAAAACAGATCGCTTTACTTCATCTGGAATGACTGGACGAGTTAGCGCTTGGTTCATTTCAGTAGTTACCACTGTGCTGACATTATGGAGGATGTGAAGGGCAGATTCGTTGTTGGAGTTCGAAAATAGTTCAGAAAAATAATGTTCAGCTTCGACTGCAATGTTTGCGTTACCACTGATATCTTCTCCGTTTGGACCCTTGAGAGATGTGATTTTATTTCTGGCTCTTCTATTCTTTGTTGACGCATGGTAAAACCTTGTGTTACGATCTCCTAATGTTAACCATTTATTCCTACTTTTGAGTTTCCAATAAGCTTCCTCGTCTTTATACGCTTGAAGTAGATTCCTGCGAAGATGATATACAGTTTCGATTGGGACATTGGGATCAGAAGAAGCTTGATCAATCTGCTGAACAAGGGATTGAATTGCCTGTGCAGAGTTTATACGTTTTGTCTTTTTCCATTCACAAATCGCTTTCCTGCATCGTCGAACACGTTCAGTTGCAGGGGTTGAAACAGAATGTGAGTTGGAGAGCCAACTATCTTTAATAACTTGATGGAATTCATTATCATGGCTAAAGCGATCATCATATCGAAACATCTTCCTTCCATAATCTGTTTGCTTACGGATCTGAATGATAGCTGGCCTATGATCTGATTCGATCAACTCTAAATATTTGACTTGAGATGCTGGATAAAGAGCTCTCCATTCATCATTGGCCATAGCCCTATCTAACCAACATGAAACTGTTTCTTTTCTTCTTTTACCCACCCAAGTCATGTTGTTTCCCAGAAACGATAGATCCTGAACCTTGCAAGTATTGACCATGTTTCTAAAATCTGTAAAAGTCCAGTTCTCTCTCACTCGACCTCCTTGTTTCTCATTAGCGTTTAAAATCTCATTAAAATCCCCACACATTAACCAAGGACCCACGCGAGTTGTAGCTATTCTCTCAAGTCTCTCCCATAAGATATGCCTTAAACCACGGATCGGATGACCATAAACGCAAGAGAAATAAAAGGAATGCTCATTCTTATTTATCTTACAATCGAGCATACGTTCATCAACAGAAATAAAGTGTACATCAACAGACTTGTTCCATAACAAAGCAATACCACCACCAATACCTAAGGGAGACACACATTTGACATAATCAAAACCAACTTGAGCTGCTACATCTCGGACGACGTCATCTGGATTTTTGGTTTCGATTAGAAAGAGTAGATCCGGGGAGTAAGTAGACTTAATCCCTTTAAGGCGTCGAACCACCAGGGACCCTTTCAAGCCCCAGCAGTTCCAAAATGCTGTATTCATGTCAGATCCGGTGGCTTCTGGTCTATGACTTCTTTTTAACCGAAGAAACTCTTAAGATTTAGCCGTGATTTATTATTAAGCTTTTGGATGGTAATAAAGTGATACAATCTCCCAAAAGGACTTTACACACTTGGGTCGGCGGGGATTGATAGATTTTTGACTCCGAGCAATTTTTGGAGCAGATGCTAAGGCGTGAGAGAAAACAAGGGGTAGAACAAAGATAAAAAAAAAACGCCGATAGAAAGATGTTAGGATGTGAAAAATGAATTCCTGAAGATTCCTAAGCCCCGATTACTACTAACGAAAACTTTAAACTTTGCAGGCGAAGGCTGCATAAAGTTCGGTGGAAAGAAATTGATAAACCGAAAAGAAATTCTGAGGCTAACCACGTAAGAATCAAAAAATTTCTCAAAATAACAAAGGAGAAAAGTCTCAGATTTTATTTGATAAGTGAATGAATGAAAATGAGAGGGGTTCATCGCCTTATATAGGAGCAGATCAGACCAAGAGTCATGCATAGGAAATTACAAAAGAAATAAATAAGTTTGACTAAACCTTGGACTGACTCTTCGCCTAGCTTTGACTAACTCTTGAGATGCCTTGGCGAAGATGACTCTTGAATTGCTGACCCATGTACCAAGTCCGTACTGAACCGCGACCGTGTGTGGTATAGCCCTTAACCTCGTTAAAATCCCACCCGGTAAACCCATTGGGACAAACCCGGGTGCACGGAAAAAGAGTATCAAGGACTACACCAGGCCGAAGTCAGTAAGTACCTTGGTATGTGAGAAGGGTCACGACACTGGATGTAGCTGGTTCCATATTCTGGTTCCTGCATGATAAATATCTTCTGAATGGCTCTTGCCAACCTCCGGGTGCGTGATCTCGTCATGGGATGATGCGATCATGGAACAAGAGGCTGAACCACGGGTCGAAGATCGGATCGAGAAGCAGAAACCAGACGCGGCCTTATGCTTATGCTCCGTCTTATGCTCGATGTTCTTTTTGGCTTTCTCATGCATCTGCTTAACCAACTAAGCTTCCTTTTTGCCATCCATGCTTACACATTCACTCAGATGTAAAGGAGTTAGATCCAAAGGAGTAAGCGGATTAAAACCATAGACAAGCTGAAATTGTGAATACAAAGTACTAGAATGCACAACATGATTGTAAGCAAACTCGACATGGGGCAAACAGTCTTCCTAAGTCCTAATGTTTTTCTTAATCACAGTCCTCAAAAGAGTAGACAAGGTCCTATTGACCACCTCGGTTAGACCGTTGGACTGTGGGTGACAAGTCGTAGAGAAACAAAGCTCGGTTCTTAGTTTAGACCAAAGGGTCTTCCAGAAATAGCTAAGGAACTTTGTATCTATCTGAGACTATGGTCCTAGGCATTCCATGAAAACATACAACTTCTCTAAAGAACAAATCAGCAACGTTTGATGCATCGTCGGTCTTATGGCATGGTATGAAATGTGCCATTTTCGAAAACCTATCTACCACAACAAAGACCGAGTCCCTACCACATCTAGTCCTAGGCAGACCTAACACAAAGTCCATCGATATGTCGGTCCAAGGTGCACTAGGAATGGGTAAAGGAGAGTACAGACCTTGGTTTTGGCTTTTGGACTTAGCGTACTTACAGGTCGTGCACCGGCTGCAGATCCGTTCCACATCTCGATTCATGTGTGGCCAGGAAAAGTGCTCCTTAACCACAGACAGAGTCTTAATCACTCTAAAGTGTCCCATAAGACCGCCTCCATGAGCCTCCCTAACAAGCAAGTCACGAAGAGAAACATTAGGGATGCAAAGGCGATTCTCATAAAACAAGTAATTATCATTACGAAAATATTTTCCAGAAGCAAACTCAAGACAGGATTTGTAAACTCCCTGGAAGCCTGGATCAGAAGCATAAGCTTCCTTAATCAGTTCAAAACCAAGAACCTTGGCGTCCAAGGTAGAGATCAGCGTGTATCTCCAGGATAAAGCGTCAGCCACGACGTTTTCCTTGCCTTGCTTGTACTGGATCACATACGGAAACGGCTCTATGAACTCCACCCATCTGGCATGCCTCTTATTCAATTTCTTCTGGCCCTTAAGATGCTTGAGAGACTGATGATCGATGTGTATCACGAACTCCTTTGGCCAGAGGTAATGTTGCGAGGTTTGGAGTTCACGGACCAAGGCATAGAGCTCCTTGTCATAGGTCGGGTAATTGAGAGCGGCTCCACCCAACTTCTCACTAAAGAAAGCAACCGGCTTCTTTTCCTACATCAGCACAGCCCCGATACCTACACTAGATGCATCGCATTAAATCTCAAAGGTCTTAAGAAAATCTTGTAAGACAAGTAAGGGTGCGTGAGTAAGCTTGTGTTTCAGAAGTTGGAAGGCGCCTTCTTGAGATTGTTCCCACTTGAAGCCCACGTCCTTTTTGACGACCTCGGTCAATGGTGCGGCTATGGTGCTAAAATCTCGGACAAAACGCCGATAGAATCCAGCCAGTCCGTGAAAGCTCCTGACTTCTCCAACCGTCTTTGGACTCGGCCAATCCTGAATGGCATTGATCTTCTCTTCATCGACCTGAATGTCCTGCGAGCTCACAACAAAGCCTAAAAAGACAACGTTATCCGTACGAAAAGAGCATTTCTTAAAATTTCCAAACAGCCGTTCTTGCCTAAGCACGTCTAACACCTTTCTCAAATGCAAAACATGTTCCAATAAGGTCTTGCTATAAATCAAGATGCCATTGAAGTAAACTACAACGAAAACACCTATAAAAGACCTAAGGACATGGTTCATCAAACACATGAAAGTACTAGGTGCATTGGTAAGACCAAAGGGCATAACAAGCCACTCATAAAAACCATGCTTAGTTTTGAAAGCCGTTTTCCATTCATCAGCTGCCTTCATTCGGATTTGGTGATATCCACTTTTCAAATCAATCTTAAATAATATGCAAGACTCATGCAATTCGTCTAACATATCATCTAACCTAGGAATGGGATGGCGATACTTAACCGTAATATTGTTGATGGCTCTCTAGTCCATGCACATCCTCTAGGTTCCATCCTTCTTTGGCACCAGCAACACGGGTACATCACATGGGCTCATCCTATCCCGGATATAATCCTTGACCATGAGCTCGTTTACTTGCCTTTGCAGCTCCTTAGTCTCCACCGAGTTATTTTGGTCAGCAGAACGGTTCGACAGTGAGGCAGCAGGCACTGTCGTTTGATCCCTCGGATCGGTGGTAAGCCGCCTGGGTCGTTCTCTGGAAAGACATCGGTGGATTCCTGTAAAACAGAAGAAATGCTGCTTGGGAGTACCGGCTCAGGATCAGTAGTGCTAGCCAAAGCTTCCTTAAAAAAAGTAAGACAAAAGGCTGTCTCAAAAGCATAACATGCTTGATCTCACTCGGCCTCATAAATAAAGAAGTGTTTGACCTCCCGGGTTCACTCTCAAAGGCCATTTGCTGAGTGTTTCTCATTTCCTCACTCTCATTTTTAGTGAAATTAGTGTTTGAGGGGTCACTCAGAACGTTTTTACCTTTGCTGTTTTGCTCAAGCTTGAGCTGATCGAGATAGACTTTCCGCGGTGACAAAGGAGCAAGTGTGATCTTCAGGCCTTTATGCTCAAAGGTATGCTTGTTAGTGTAGCCGTCATGGATCGTCTTGTGATCAAACTGCCACAGTCTACCAAACAAAATATGGCCAGTCTCCATAGGCAACACGTCGCATATAACCTCGTCTTCATAGCGGCCAATGGAAAAAGGAACCGCTACCTGCTTAGTCACCTTGAGTTATCTTTCATTATTCAACCACCGCAAACTATTAGGCTGTGGGTGCTTATTGGTCTCAAGGCACAGCTTCTCAACCATGGTTTGGCTCGCCACATTGGTATAGCTCCCACCATCGATCACCAAACTACAAACCTTGCCCATGACCATGCATCAGGTATGGAACAGGTTCTCCCGCTGCTCTTTGTCTCTAACCGGTTCTTGAGAAATAAGAATACGCCTGGAAACAAGTAACTCACCCTCAGCTGCGTGTTCCTCATCATAGATCGGTCCGGTGTCCTCTTCATCGTCGGTGATGATCTCTCCGGAATCAAGGAGTAGCATACCTCGCTGGTTCAGACACTTGTTAGCATAGTGTCCCTTGCTTCTGCACTTGAAGCACTCGATATCTTGGTTCCTGAACGGTGTAGCCTCGGTCTTGCCTTTGTAATCGGCTGTGGATGAAGTCAGCTTAGATTCGATCTTGGGCTTGGCATCAGATCGAGAAGGATAGCTCGGTTTGTGGTTGGGTCGTGAGCTGGATCCATACCGGGCAGTGCTCTTCCTCCTCAACTGCTGTTCCACAAGTATGGCCTTCTGGTACATGTCGGACTGACTCCGGTAACTCTCCATCTCCATATGATCCTGATTCCTGAATGTCCCTGTTCATACCGCTGAGAAACCGCACCATAGTAGCATCTTCTGGTTCTTCTATGTCAGCCTTGAACACCAGCCGCTCCATCTCCTGGTAGTAATCTTCGATGTTCTTGGTATCCTGGGTCAATCGCCGAAGTTCGTTGTGTAGTTCTCGGTTGTAGTAGCTCGGAACAAACCGTCGTTGCATCAGACACACCATTTCATCCCATGTCTTAACGGGTCGATCCCATTTCGTCTCCAGTTGGTAACGATCTGATCCTACCAATCACACATCATATCCATGGAACTTTGTAGCTGCTAGGTTGATTTTCTTCCTCTCTGTGAAATTCTGGCAACCAAACACGATCTCGTTCTTTTTCTCCCACTCCCATAAAAAGACGGTATTCACAACTTCAGCCTGCCAAGGTCATTGTCGGGTCGTATACGTGCCTGTTCTGGTTCGTTTTGCTCTCACCCGCGGTACGGCTGTTGGTATGGATCAACTGGTTCACGATCTCGGGCCGCATAGTTTTGTCCATGGTACTACTCCTCTCGACCGCGGTCTGACCCGTGGTTTGGCCCGCGTCGATCTGCCTGATCACGACGAACGTCTCGGTTGTATCGCTGTCGGGTACAACTTCCTCTGAATGTGTGGCCCTCTGCGTAGAATGGGTTGTCTAGGACTTCCTCCTGATTGCGATTTCTCCTCAGATGGTCTGGTTCCTCACGGTTCCGGTTGCTACATCCTTCCCCATCTGATTTTCTTGGCTGTATTTTTAGCCGTTCCAACCGCTGACTAATGCGCTCCATCATTTCGGTTATTTGGTTTAGTTTAGCATCCATCTCCTTAGGCCTGACCCACCGAATGTGATTACCGTCATGGAACGTGGAGTATTCCCAATCGCCGTTAGAAAAGTCAGATGACATACAAAGTACCTCGCAAAATTTAGCAAACTTGTTAGTAAAAATTCCTCACTTTAGTGTTTCACTCAGTGTTTACTCTCAGCACTCTTAATGTTCTCACACACACAAGAGACCCTCCTTGGTTCTCAAGGAACTAAATCAAGACCAATGTAGACCCCACAACCAAATCGGAAAATCAATCGAATATGAAGAAGAAAAAGAGAAGATATATAGTAAAAATTTGTTTTCAACAGATCTTTCTTTTTTTTTGTTTAAACTAGATCTGGAATTACAAAAGAAAGAAAAGATAAGACAGAATTTGAAAAGACAAAAAGATAGATAATACCGCTTTCTTCAAGTGCGTGGCTCTGATACCACTTGATACGATCTCCCAAAGGACTTCACACACTTGGGTCGGCGGGGGTTGATAGATCCTTGACTCCGAGCAATTCTTGGAGAAGATGCTAAGGCGTGAGAGAAAGACTCCCAAAAATCCTTAGGCCGAAACTCTCGAAGAATGATTTGAAAACAAGGAGGTGGAACAAAGATAAAAAGAAAACACCGGTAAAAGGATGTTAGGGCGTGAGAAATGAATTCGTGAAGATCCATAAGCCCCGATTACCACTAACGAAAACTTTAAACTTTATAGGCGAAGGCTGCGTCAAGTTCAGTAGAAAAAACTTGATAAACCGAAAAGAAATTCTGAGGCTAACTGATAACACCGGATTATGACCATTTTTATGGATCACTTTAATGTCTTTTACATGTATTTTTACTCCATTTTCAAAGGTTTTCAAAGGATTTTTTTGTTTACGGATTTTATAAGACTTTTCAGGTAAATTGGGATAAAGAGGCACGAATTGGAACAAAAAGACTCTTTTAGATAAATGCAGACCATCAGAACTCTCATGGAGAGACGAAGACCTTCTCACCATCTGATCACCCTCAAAATTAGACAACTTATAGAAGAATCAACCAGCTTTCAAATTCACTTGGTTTGGAGACATTCCAACGGTTGGATCTCAAGATATTCCATTTGCCCCGGAGACACTCGAAGACGGCCAGCAAGTCACGCGACCGCGGCCACCAACCCATCCACCGCGGTCACAAGCTTCACGACTGCGGCCAGAGCTCTGTTTCCTGCGGCCACGTTACTCCCGACCGCGGCCGGCCAACTCCGATCAAAAGCCCATATTTCTGAAGCCCAAAGTCATTTCTTTGCCTCAATTCCGGAACCCTAGAGACCATGGAGTATTGAACACTATAAATATTTTTCATTTAGATCGTTTTTAGACATCACCTTCATACCTTTACAAAAACCCTTTTCCTTTAGCCGTTTTATGCGATTTTTAGAGAAGATTGTTCAACTCTGAGTTCTTCAATAGAGAAGCTTTCTTTCATCTCTTTTCTTTACTGTTTTTGGTTGCTTTTATTAAAACCAATGAGTAGCTGTGAATTTGCGGCTTTCATTTGTTTTTATTAAGGGTAAAAGTTGTTCCCTCACGCAGTAGACACATCAAGTTTTTGGCGCCGTTGCCGGGGATTTGTTTCGCTGCCTTTGTTATTTTTCTTGTTCTAATTTCTGTTCTAGAAATCTGATCTCTAGTTCTTTCTTAAGGTTTGCTGAATTATCTTTCCCTTCTTTTGTTTTTCTATGAATTGCATGAATACCAGACGCAGACCTGTAGAAAACATTCCAATTCTAGACGAGATAGACAGACACGAAAGAGAATTTCGAAGACTTAGACGAACACAAGGAATGGCCGACGACGACCAGCCTGGAGATCCTGCTAACCAAGCTTTAAACATGGACCAAGATGGGTCCGAACATGGAGAAAATGAAGAAAACGATCACAGAGAAGGTGATCATGCTTGACAAGATGGAGAGGAGAATGAGGTTCCCCCAAGAAACCCTCAAAACCGAGAGAGAAGAACGTGAAGACCTTGATGCACCTATCAATGCAGCCGATGGTGACAACCAGGAGATGCAGCCGAATGGACGCGTTAACCGCCCTGTTCAGCAAGCAAATCAACACCGAAGACAAGCCATGAACCATCGCATAGCTGATTTCAATGCACCTTCTCAGAATTTTCAGAACCGATCCGCAATTCATGTACCATTTTCGAATCGGAATGAGTTTGAAGTCAAGCCTCAAATAATCTCTTTGGTGAAACAAAACCAATTCTATGGAGTTCCTTCTGAACATCGAATGGATCATATTGAACTCTTTGGAGAAATCTGCAACATGATGAGGACAAACCAAGTTCCAACAGACTATTTCAAGTGTAAGTTGTTCCCTTTTTCATTAGCAGATAAAGCTCACCGTTGGTTGAAATCTTTGCCTGCAGGATCGATTACTAATTGGGAAGAATGTAAAATGGCTTTTCTGAACCATATCTGTACTAAGTCAAGGTCAAACATGCTGAGAACCAAGATCTCAAGCTTTCAGCAAGGGCCGACTGAATATTTCTATGAAGCCTGGGAACGTTTTAAGGAGTATGAACGTGACTGCCCTCACCATGGATTCCCGGATCAAGCCTGCTGAGCACATTTTACGGAGGTTTGCAACCAAAATACAAACTTTCACTTGATACAGCTAGCAATGGAGAGCCCTCATCGAAAATTTGGCTCAAGCCAATAGCAATGATTGTCCTGAATACGATCGCTCGACAAAGCAAACTGGAACAGACAACAAGGAGATAACCGAGTTGAAGAACATGATGAGCCAGCTTTTGAAAAGCAATAATCGCCCAATCCATACTTGTGAGACCAACAATGGCGCAGAAGACGAAGGACCTAGTGATATCGATCACATTAATCCAGCCTTTCAAGAAGAAGAAGTGAACTATGTAGGAGCACAAGCACCATATCCAAATCGTTTCAACAATGGATTCAACAACAACTTCCGGAATGCAAACTACAACAATCTCTCTTACCGCAACACAAATGTGGAGAATCCTCAAGATCAGCACTACGCACCGCAGCAAAGATCCTTCCAAAACAAGTTCCAAGGTGGAAATTTCGGAGGGACAGGAGCTTATCAGCTGCGACAGCCATACAACTATCAAGGTACAGGTTTTAACAATCAATTTGTACAACAGCAAGGAGTCACAACGAACCAGCTAGCTTCGCAAATCGGAAGACTTGAACAGTCCATCCAACAGCTTGTTATGACAAACGAGAAAGCATCTAAAGACATGAACGTGAAGGTTGACTGCATGTACAATGACCTGAACGGGAAGTTTGAAGCTCTATCTCCGCACGTCAAAAAGCTAGACGTACAAGTTGCCCAAACAGACGACTATATGAAGAGACAAGGTGGAGCTCTTCCCGGAAGAGTTGAAGATAACCCCAAGAGATTTTGTAATGCCATAACCATGCTGCACGAAGAAGAAGCCAGAACCGATAGAAAAGATGAAGAAACCCCAATTTTTGTTCCACTCTACAAAGATGTCGATGCCAAGCAGCCACCATTCACGGTACCTCAACGTTCACTGTTTCAAAGGCTTACAAAAGCCGACGACCCGGGACGTTTTGTTTTCCAATGTTTCATTTCAGGAATCAAGTTCACAGACTATCTATGCGATTCCGGAGCCAATATCAACATCATGTCAAAGACATTTGCCGAAAAATTGGGCATACAAACTTTAAGGACATTGATAGTTAAGGTTATCTTTGGAGATTCATCACAAAAAGATACTGAAGGAGCAATTCATTTTCTACAAGTTCTAGTAGGGGACAAGATTGTTCCAGCAGATTTCCAAGTTCTGGAAATGGATCAAGACAAGGAGAGACCACTCATATTCGAGAGACCATTTCTGGCTACTGTAAGAGCAGTAATCGATTACACAAACCGGCATAATGTCTTCCTCAATGTGGATCGCAGGAAGTTTTATCCAACTGTCCTAGACGATTTTCCAAGTAAAGGAAATCGGCCAAAAGAAAAAGAAAAGGAGAAGCCGAGAGCTTTTGCAAAGATCAAGATCATCATTCCACTGGATGCAACAGAGACTAGTGAGGACCAAATCCATGAGCTGATCGAGAACACAAAAAGGGTTTTAAACAACGTTAAAGTCCGAAAGAAGAGTAAAGGAAAGAAGATGGCTCCGCAAGGAGAAGAAGTTAAACCTCCAGCGACCGGAAATGATAAAGGCACATCAAGTGGAGTGCCATTCAAATATGCCAAGCGCTTAATGGGAGGCAACCCATTTAGGTACACTTTCTTTTAGTTTTCTTTTCCTTTTAACAATTTATGTTTCCTTTTTATTTTTAAGTTTCAGGTATTTTTATAAAAAAAAACACAAAAAACAGAAAATTTGAAAAACCGAAAAAGAGGTTTTTAGCTGCTTGGCCCGGGAGAAACCTGAAAGTTGGA